TAGCTGTAGTAGCTGTGTAGCTGTAGCTGTAGGCCCGGCATCGAAACTGTCAGCGGCGGGCCGACGGGCCGACGCGAATTTCGAACACTGAACGCAATAGTATGTAGTATACATACTAGGACCTGTGGATACTTAAGTTGTAATATGAATTGGACAGTTCCTGCTTCAAAAGGCACAACGCACATCCTTCTTAAGTTGTAATATGAATTGGACAGTTCCTGCTTCAAAAGGCACAACGCACATCCTTCGGACATGGTTCAAAAATACAATGTTTCAATAAAATAAAATGTTTTCCCGACCGACCTACCCTATTTTTTTTCGGCATGAAACGGTAACCACACCTATATTTTGTTTTGGCCCTATCAGCGTTACTGAAGTACCTCGAGTAGTTTTGCGTTTATTATTTGCATCGTATGTATACAGGCACGTCTTTGCTGTAGTCTACGCAGGCTATAGTACTAGAGCAAGGCGCGTGACAACGAGCCAGCAGCAGCGCGAAGGGTAGGAGGGGATTTGTCAAATGCATATATACATTAGGTGTCTGCGTGTGTGTGTGCCTGTGTGTGTGATGTATGTATGCATGTCAAGAGTACCGGTACATAATAGAGAGATCATCTCTAGAGAGAGCATCTCTATTATGTACTCTTGATGCATGTCCAGAGAGACATGATACAAGATTGCGTGGCACAGCTTTGCTGTTGATCCTGAGCGCTGCGCGCGGATGAGACGCGCAGTTTCGGTCTGATTGGTTTTGGAGCGCTTGTGATTGTGGTTAGCCTCTTTTCACCACAATGGCGTTAGTGGGGCTGCCGCTGAAGGGGTCGTTGTCGTATCAGGTACTACATATATGTACCCGAGGTACATATATGCATACACAAAGTGTACCAGACTTGTACTACAGAAGTGTATCCTAACCCTAACCCTAACCCTAACCCTAAACATACCTCATATAAAAATATAAACATAATACTAAACAACCTAAAACTACCTCGGGTACATATATCATATGTAGTACCTGATACGACAACGACCCTTCGTGCGTTAGTGGGAACCTATCGATTTAATTGAGGCATACATTAGGCCGACGTTAGGCTTTTTATTTGCAGTGATCGAGGAGTTGTTTACCACAGATAGGAGAGTTATTAGTGGTGCAATAAGATTTATTATACATAATTTTTATTTTTACAGATTTGCTGGAACTGCCAGTGGCAGTGGCAGTGGCAGTGCTTACACAAAATGCATTACTATCAATTTGCCTAAAATTGAGGAGTCTTATTTATATGCGTACCTGTGGCTGTGCTTCACGTGGCAGCTCTCCCAAGTCAAAATGCTTTACGACCAATCACTGAAACGTGATAAAGTTGCAGATATGAAACACACACACACGTATTGCATCGGTTCAAGGATATAGAGCATGGCCCGATTGAGACCTATGTCATTTTTGTCAATGTGGGGGTAGCTCTAGTAACGCTCATAGGGTCTATGTCCCCCAGGGTACTGCCGGAACGTAACTATTTGATATGGTTAGGGTTAGGGTTAGGGAGTAGCCGTAGGCGACTACCTAGACTTGTTAGTGGAGTAGGCGAGGTACGGTCCAGCATATTAGATAGTACCAGGGTACATTCTGGTATACCGGACCGTAACCAGGGTACGTTCCGGCAGTACCCTGGGGGGCATAGACCCTCTCAGCTCTAGTAACTATAGCCCGCGTGCAGTTGCCGCAGGGCCTTCTTATCCGAAGTGTCTTATGTCTTAAGTTATATCCGCAACTAAAATTTAACCTCTAAGTCTAACTATCGTTGAAATGGTCTGCTTGCGGAATTTCTTGTGAACGAACATTCGATTTGCGAACTTCAAACAGCCATTTTTGGCGGCGCTGCAGCAGCGCCAGTCAGCGGGTTGGTCAAATTCCTGATGAATTTGGCGCACGTCTCCACTGCGGACAACGCTTCATACTTGAACATCCCCGCGGTCGCGTGCGCATATCCCGTGGTGTGCCAAATTTGGTGCTTTTATCAAAAAGTGAACACTTTACCTCTTTTTGGGAGCTTAGAACCCCTACTAACAGAGATTAGCTGCCAGAAGACAACGTGAATTAATTTGCCTGGTTTAATTACATAGAAAGTGATGCATTTGAGTGGCATAACGAGATGTAGATGCAATAGGCTTAGAGCAACCACAGGACATTATGTACCAAGAAGGCATTCCCATCATGCCACTGGAAAACAGACAACAAGTCTGGGAAGAAGATCATGATGCCTCGGTGACTGTTTGCTCACTTTTCAACTTTGGCAGCTAACCTTCGTGGTCTGAAATTTTGAATGGATTTTGATTTTTATGTGGGATATTATCTTTTCTTTGTGTTTGGTAAAAAAAAAATTCTGACATTGAAATTTGAATGTATTATCAATTTTGCAAATAAAGTATTAAAGTTGATATTAAACTATGAAAATTGTGGAGTGTTAGGTATAGGGGGGTTTCTGTTCAAGTGTTATAACACTTGAACAGACACGTACCCCCTATACCCCCTGTAACACTAACACCAGGCCATATACCCTCCCCCCCCCACACACACACATACCCTCCAGTGTTACATAAATTTTGAATGAACCCATGGCTAGGTAAACCTGTGCTGCTCAACAGACAAAAATGTACGTGTTTGTATCAGGAGTGCATAATATAGATGTAAATCTATATCTGTATTATGCACTCCGGTTTGTAAGTTTGGAACTCACTAATCCAGAAAGAATGGGATAAGACCAGTTTTGGATTAGTCAAAACTACGAACCATCAAAGGTGAGATTAAAAAACGGAAACATTGCATTGCGTAACTTAATTGTTACTAATACCATTACAACTTACCTAGCAAGAAACATAGCTCAGGCTTAATTACTTGATCCTTTTGACCAAGTGTTAGTGCTATAGCACAAGTTTTCTTTACTATGGCACACATTTACGGTACTCTAATAGAAAAACAGGTACTATAGTAGATTGAGCCAAGGATCACCAGATTCATATCGCAGTTTCGAACCATCAAAGCTGCCGAGTCATCGTATCATGGAATAGTGAGGTTCAACGTGCGTGCGTGTGTGCGTGCGTGCGTGCGTGCGTGTGTGCGCGTACGTGCAAGTATATATATATATATATATATATATATATATATATATATATATATCATATGTATATATATATGTAAATATGGCAATTATATGTGTTCAGTTATATGCAATGAAAGTACTGTTTGTGATGGTTCATCTATACCAAACTCCACGACAGATAGCGCTCTCGCTCATTGGCTCAATCTACCACTGCACAAGTAGATTTTCGGTTACAATTTGTATCGCTTTTTTACGCACAAGTTTTACAGCGGCCAGGTTAATCGTATCCTATGTAATATGATTTTTACTAATAAAAGTTGCAAAGATATTAAAAATCCGACCATTATTTTATGAGAAATTTGATAAAATAGTGATACGAAAAAGTGCGCCATTTACTATATCTTACTGTTTACTAAACTAAGTTCACGTGTTTATTTATATTTATCATGAATTTTCCGGATGCTGCCAATATACCTAATTCTCGAACATTGTCTTCGATGTATTTTTGCGTATTCATTTAAAACATCTAATATTGTCCACCAACAACATGCAAATCATAGAAATTTCTAATGTTTTGTTCGGCGCGATTCGCGGCTGTTGATTGCCATTTGCTGGATTTCCCGGAGCTCCATTTGAAAAATAGTGCTAGCATTGTGCAGTGGTATCCTGAGTGTGCGAAGGGGGCGCTGCATGCAGTTTGCATCTATACATGTATAGTGTGCTATAGAGACTGCCTGCTGGGATAGATAAATAATCTATTTGCTTGCAGAGCTCCACTATATATATCCCGATAATTCATATTGTTGTTTTATCTAGAAATTATTACAAATCAAAATGGTGAGAGCGTGGTACATGGCAGATGTAACAGAAGGGTATGATCCAAAGTCTGAGCTCCAGCTAAATCCCGGCAAGAAGTAGAGGTGTCATGCTTGCAGAAAGCTGGGCGTAATATATTTTAAGGTGCGCACAAAACTTTCTTTGTTATAAAATATAACCTAGTGGCATTATGCCAATTTATTGTGCTGCTGTTTAAATCTATCGTCTTAGAGCTATAATACTATGTCGCACTAATTAAGCCAGATAGTACTGTACTATGTTTTATGAATTTAGCATTTTGCAAAGATTTTAATGACATTCCATTCTTTCGCTATTTGATTTTAGTTTGACACAGACTGTAGTAAGGACCAAGAAAAACTGGAAGTGCTAAGAAAGGAAAGAGGCTATTCTTATGAAGATCATGTCACTATAAGTAAGGAATCGTTTAAGGAAAAGTTTGATTCCATGGTAAACACAACTTCTTTGTCTAATGTATGTTATGAAAAGTAAAATGAAAATATCTCTCCAGGGGTAGAAATAAGGAGAAAAAAAGAGATCTAGTTTGAAATTAAGATGGTCCTCCTAAATTTCAAATTGTTCTCTAAAAGTAATGCGGCGTGCAAGCGTAAGATTTGCTATGGTCAACACTGGATTAGCAATAATCGAAACATGGAAACTTCAAAGAAAATTGTTGAAATGGGACCAAAATATTCAATGGTCTGGCGGAAAATCTGATGGTCCTCCTGATTATTTGATGGCCCCGGACCATCAGACCATCGCTTATTTCGACCCCTGCTCTCTCTCTATTGATAGTGAGGAATTTGTTTTAATCACGTATTTACTGACATGCTTGTGGTTTTGTATCTTTCATACCGATTCACATTGACTACTAAGTTTATTGACAATTCTCCCACTCTCATCTCGTGTAGTTTTCCTACGCATCGTGCTTCATACAGCAACACACAGAACATAGGCATGAACATAAAAAACCTGCTTCTAAACTGCTCTGATCCCGCCATTACCACAGAACCCAGTCTACAAACCTGTCTAAACCTGACGTCATGTGTGACCTTCAGACCAGTGCACAATCTGTCATCGTTGTCATGTGACGCAGTGCTGCGGATGCTGCCCCGCCGGGTGCTCCGATCGATGCTTATAACCTATCGTGAGGGTCGTACGACATGTCAGCTTCTAGAAGTCTGCCTGTATGTATAACACAGAGATCGCGAAAAGACTCGGGATGTCAATTTGAGGGTCAAAGGTCAAGGTGTGTCAATGGAGGGGGAATATTTCCACCTTAACTTAAAGTATAGGAGGAAATACGGAATTGCGGCACAAATCTCAACGGCTTGCTTGACCTACGCTCTTAAATAATATTCGATGTATAGTGTGATGGGGAGGAAACCCATCACCAGCGCAAAATTGGAGGTCAAAGGCCAGTGGTGGAAAGGTCAGATATGAGACATTTTCTGAGGACATGGTCTAACGGACTGAGTGCAAAACTTTTTTGTTTCAGCGCTGACCTACCATTTTTATCACTTTATTGAAAGGACCATGAAATGTGCTTTCCGCTGACTTGCGAAGAGTAGTGTCTGATAACCTTTTGACCCTCAAGAGGAGGGGTAAACACGCATTTGTTGACTGTTAACAAAGGACTGAACTGCTTTTGCTATTAGAGCCCCCTCCACCATCTGTTTTAGTAGTATCCTAGATATATGCTCTGAGCGCGAACGCGGTGGCGGGAGGGCGCACTTGATTCGGTTGCCAGTGAGTTTATTCAGAAGAATACCCGGCTACAGTACACGTCAGTTGAGCGCTGTCGCTCTGCGGCACTTGTATATTACGTTATATAGCACGTTTATTAAATATTTCACAACGTCGTTGCTTCTCACTTGCATTGCTGTTCCCACCATCAAGAAACAGAAATGACATCCTGCAATGAGAGTGTAACTTCCTCATTATTTGCAGCCTCTTGCTGCTCACTAGCCTTTCCCTGAGCTGAGAATTGGATTCCTCAATACCCTAGCCCATGGCCGGAGTATAGAAAGTGGCTTACCCTCTAGCGGTTCTGTGTATGTGCATTGACCGCAGAACAGGTGTCTGTTAATGCGGATGTTATCTGATAGACACAGATGTTTTTCATCGAGCATCTACACGAGGATGACGAGATTCGTTACATCCGCGACGGCAGCGGCTACTTCGACGTGAGAGACCGCGGTGACAAGTGGGTGAGGATTCACATGACGAAAGGTGACATGATCATCCTACCTGCCGGCTTATACCACAGGTTCACTCTCGACTCTCAGGTGCGTGGATTTACCTGCACGTTTGTTTACTCAGGTGCGTTTACATAACAGGGTATGCGCGCGCCCTGAAAAACTCGGACTGTCCAGGAATTTCAAACTGATGTTTTCCAGGCCGGGAAAATTCTGGAAAGACCTGGAAAATGTGGTATTATTATATGTGGTACTTGGGAAGTCCTGGAAATTTAGCAATTATTTATTGCATCCCATTTTACCAATTCTCATAACAAGTTTAATATATTATATATAAGATATATAAGATATATATAGATTATAATATGTGTTTTTCATTACAGCCTATAGCTATATCTCCTTACTTGCTCGAGTCAATAGTTTGTTCAATAAGTGGTGATTAGAAAATACGGGACACAAAGACAGACATGCACTTGGCTTCAATTTCGGGGTCCTGACTGAAAAGTGGACAGTGCCTGCTTTAGTTTCATATGTTAACATTTAGTTTGAATTTTTTTCATTGTTGTTAGGAATACGCGAAAGCCAGTCGATATTTCATCGGTGTGCCCGTGTGGACACCCATCAACAGACCAGCTGATGATCACCCAGCCCGTATTGCGTATTTGAAGACCATATCGGCCTAGGATTTGCAAGTGTCTTATAAACACCATGACAACTTTAGATAATTTACGTCTCTGTGGCAGGAATCCTTAGCCGACAGGAGATATAGGGCCAGCTAATCGTCATGTTGTAGCAGCAGTGGCACAAGTGTTTTACCACTGAAGGACAATTTTCAACTTGGCTTAAAGTCTCATCAGTTCCTTCTAAATTTTAATACACCTCTGAAATTGTGAGCTCTCGGTCGAAAAAGCTACAATAAATTAGGTTGTTTAAACATAATACTGTAATATGTGGTACGTGAATATAAAACGTGATACGTGAATAAACAGAAAAATCAATTGTCAGACATCTTTGTCAGATTGTTGCCTTCCAAATTTTGGTTGTCTATTTTAAAGCCTAAATATTTTAATATTTTAATATTTAAAAGTCTATTTTAAATTTTGGTTGTCTTGTTTAAAGCCGCACAATGCGCATCCAAACGCTAATTTCTCCAGTACTAGACTAGCAATACTCGTGTCTGAATAATCACACACTTATGACAAAATCAAACTCTAGTTCCCCATTTCAGCTGACCGTGTCTTATAAAAGGATTTGAAAATACCTCCAATGTTGTTAAATCTCTCCCGATGGTTGTTGACAGTTTCCCGCAAGCAACCGTGCAGCGGTGCTGCGGGACAGGCGGTAGCGGGTGTAGGCAAAGACTAAAACATGTGATGGCACCTCACCACACTTCGAGCTAAATTGTTTGGCAGAACAGTCGGCGTTTGCGCCAGAATGCCAGTTTTCTCACCTCTTTCTTGTGGTTTTAAGCTAAACCGCAGTGAAATGAGGAGCAACTAGAGTTTATTTTCTCATAAGGTAGTGTGATTATGCATGACTAGTCTAGTACTGGAGAAATTATCGTTTGGATGCGCATTGTGCGGCTTTAAGTTACGAAATAAGATAGATTCATAAGCTAAACTAATTTTGAAGTAAGTCACTGCAAGATTAAATCGTAAATCACCCCCCCCTCCCCCTGTGATTCTCGCAGGGCACTTCCCTGCTTCAGTTGTGACCTGGTTTGGCAGGGCTGCACTATCTTATGTAGTGCGTAGTTATACATGTGCAACAAATCGGCTGTACTTTTTGTATTTTCCATTCCTGTATGCCTTCACAGTATTTTCAGTGAATAAAAGACGGGTAATACACTGAGTATAAAAATATTGCGTCTGAATAGCTGCATGCAACTTTCGATCATCACATAATATCATGCGTAATATTATTAGCTCTTGATAATATCATGAACAAATGTATTAGATTAGATTAGGTTGATTTACGTAGCACCATCAAATACATAAACACATAAATTGAGCATAGCTTTAGGCAACGAGTGGAGAATTAATCTAGGTTTTAGCTGGCCTCCTTTTTTGTATAAGTTAGTAATTTACCATTGGTTTTTAAATGTGCACATAACTAGTACGGCAATAAATGCACAGGAAGACGATAAAGTTGTTGACCGATTAATTTGGAAGCTATATCCAGAATACACTGTCACTTCTACATACATATATGTATATCATAGTAAACATTACTCATGGGTACACCAATATACACATGTCCAATATATTATCGTACACATGTTCAGGAGTGAATAAAAACTAAAAACTGTTTTAATTGACTTTGATATGGTAATAATAAAATCCAAATTTGGATAAAAAACAATCTACATATGACTCTATATTTGCTATTTCAGAGATTTTTCATGGACCGAATGCGCCAAGAATATTAAATGGTTTATATTAATCCAACTACTGCTTTTTTCTTAAAGGCATGGTACCTATAATGGGTGAAAATAATAAGCATAGAGATAACTGTTATCAAAAATGCGATTTACAAATCAACGGTATGAAAGTGCATACTCCAGATGGGGACATACAACAATGCGGCCTGTCCTACGTTACGTGAACCTGTCAGAAATCGTTATGTTGTGTCATCCCGACGATGTGCATTCATTTCCGTGTCGACAAAACATCGGACCAGAGGCCGCTTGAAGCTCAAGTTTCGAAAAAAAGTAGAGATAAGTCTATTACTAAAGCGAAGGCGGTTTCGCGATCTGCGGAAGGCGAAGCCGCTTTCGCTCTAATATAGACTTATACTTTTTCGAACCTTGAGGCGCTCCAAGGGCCTGTGATCGACACACTTCAAACATGTACAGTTAGGCCCGTACCGAGCTTTCTATTGGGGGGGGTTACGTTTTTCAAATCATTGGCAATATTGCTCGGCAGGGGCGTGTACAGGGATTGTACGGCAGGGGTCTAACCGTAACCCATAGTTGCGAGCACTGCGAAGGGGGGGTCATGGCGGGCCCGTCCCAGAAATTTCTTTTAAAATACACCCCTTAAGAATGCGTTTTCTGCAGGAGCAAGGGGGGGTCCGGACTCCCTGGAGCCCTCCCTAGCTGGTACACGCCGCCTGCTCGGGCGCCAAGCGACGAGCGGGGAGGGTGTAGGGAGGGGTGTTTGCACTGTTCGCCTCCGCACGATGAGATGTTTTGCAATTATTAACTAAAATGGAGGCGACCTGAGGTGAAATTCTTCAAATTTTCAAAAAAAAATATTTTTGGCTTGGGGGGGAGGGGCTCGGGGGGGTCTCATGAACCGCGAACCCCCTGGCTGACGGCGCTGTAACAGTTGTACAGAAAATAGCCAATTAATTTGATAGTCAATAGCAACAGCAGACCTGACGACTATCTCGAATATTTTTAGGATCACAACATTGTTACGTAACTTACCAATTTACGTAACACTGCACTGGAGCACATTCCAATAAAGACTCCGTGTATATGACGCTTCCACCAAGGAGCTACTATATACACGCAAGTGAAACGAACTTTGCGAGGTTGAAAGTCCCGTATGTTGATGACGTATGCATACATTACACCTAGTTTTAGTCAAACGCCCAATTCAAGTCACTGGGTCATAAGGTGACATTAGCGTAACACTGCACAAAACGGACAGATACGAGTGACATTGACTCTTACAAATGGATTAAGCTCGGTCACATGACAGTTATTGAAGTTTGTAAGACACTAGAGAAGGAACAAGTTGCAACATATTTAACAGTGTTACTGGGGCTTGGGTGCAGCAGAATTTGTTGCGGTGTTATTTTGTTCTTGAAGTCTAGGGGGACAGAGCGCTTTACGTAACATTCAGCAATATTTTCATGTTCTGTTATTTATCAGGCATTCACGAGAACAAAATTCTCACTAAAACATATAAATCATTCCAGGAGTTCATAGTCTTGCAAGATTATTTATTTACAACAATGAAAAAGCGTAAATAATATTTATTTCCTTCTAATGTAGCTATGATGGCAGGGGCGTAGATAGCGGGGGGATGGGAGGATGCACCCCCCAGCTTATTGACGTGGGGGAGGGATGGGCGTAGTACAACATTCCCGCTACTTTCAGGAAGGAAACATGGGGGATTCAATAATTCTGAGGGAGGCACCTGCATACCCCGCAATCGTTTCTTACCACCCTCCTCGAAATCTCTGCATTGGCCACTGTCGAGCGTAAAAATTTATGCACCGAGCAGCTCAAACGTTCCTAGTCGGCGCGCTGTATGAAGTACTGCAGCTACTACAAGATTATGATTAATGAATAATTGTGTATGCATATCAAAGTCAATTTGGGTTCATCATGACAGGGGCGTAGATGAGCGGGGGGGATGTGGGGTATATCCCCCCACACTATATGAGGTGTGGTGCTTCATCACCCCCGATACCTTCAGGAAGAAAATGGAGAAAAATTTAATATATTAACAGACAAAAATACTCGGATATTTATCTACTAAATCCTCATGCGCTATATATATTCTATATGTGAGTTAATTAAGAAAATGAACGTGGGACATTATTTTACTGAAAACTCAGACGGTTAATTTTGACCATTCCCATATGAGCGATTCTTTTTTATTATCAAAATCACCAAATAATTCTATCATGGCTCGACGAAGTTAAATCCTTGCTTTATTCAAAAATTAGAAATAGACTAATTGAGAGTAGGGTTTGAATTTTCAAGGGGGTTGAACTGGGAAAGTTCAATTATATCTCATCACGAGGGGGGATGTGGTGCTGAGACCCCGACCGGAGTATATATTCCGATTTTGTAGAGGAGGGTGAAAATATAGCACTATTTATGGTTCCAAATGGTTTGTTTTTGCTCATATTCTTTTGCAGTTTTAAGTGTTCTCACTGTTTCAGTATAAATATAGCGTTTTATCAAATTTCAGGGGGATTGACTTCAAGTGCTGTAGTGTCACTGGGGGTCGGTAGTACATGGGGGCGTGTTCGCGCCCCGCCTAGAAATGTATTCAGGTAACGTAATTTTAGCTCTAGTAAGTCTGCACGGCAAGCCCGAGTGAGAACTATGTACATGTGTAGCACAGATTTGGTAGTAAGCATTTTTTAGTCTTTGGGTGTCTCCCCAAAGGTAAAAATGCTCATAATCAAGCTGTGATGTTATTGTGACTGAAGATTGTTTAAATAGTGCTGCCTCAAGTGCAGCAAGTTGCATCCGAAGAGGTGTTATTTGAACAAAATTCCGGGCGAGGTCCATGGACCCCCCCCTAAAGAGGAGGGGGACACGACCCTAAAGGAGGAAAAATCCTGTTTCTAGTGATAAAGATGGTCCAAAATGATTGATTTTAGGATTGCAACTTTTTTAACAATTCCACACAGTGGCGCTTCGTGCCGCCGTGAGCTCGCAAATGATTCGCCCCTAGAATTCACTTCTGGATTCAGCCATTGCTGTGTGTGTGGGGGGGGGTGCGTGTTTAATAAACCTTCTGAATCAAAGAAAAAAACTAACCCTTCGAATTCACAAAATTGGACTTAAACATATCACTTTTTTCGAAATTGACCTCAAAAACGACATCTGAATGTTCTAATATTGCTAAAAAATCCACGAGCTTCCGGGTGCTCGCGCCCCCTGGACCCGGCAGGGCTCGCCCGTGCACCCCACCAGGTTCCCCTAGGGCGGGCCCCTGGACCCACACAATTAGAAGGGCTTTGCATCAAGGAGCTCGGGTGTGAGCGGCACTTCGCGCAAACTCTCATATATCATTTGAGAAGTAACAGCGCAAATCTCCCCCACAAACTGAGGTTATGTCTAGGCCACTGATGATAGGAACTGTCCATATTGTGGACTACGGAAAATAAGGGGTCTGTGATACCTTGTGCTGTAAATAAGGCAATTACAAATGGGTATGATCCTAATTGTTTTATGAATTAATCTCTAAACATATTAAAGTATAAATAAGAAGAATTATAGGTTATATTCACGTGTTTATTTATTTTATTCAAGTA